CCTCGGGAGCGTGTGGCTCCGGGAACAAAGGCTCTTGGCAGGGCACGGCTCCTCCCGATGCTAATCTGCCTCTCTCGCCTCCCACCCGCTTTGTGTTTCACTAAAAATACCGCGGCGGAGGAAGTTCGTGCCGCGGGGTGGATGCTCTCCTCCCCGGGAGGGGCTTCCTGCGCTGCCCCGGCACGAAAATAGCCCCCAGCCTTGTCCCTCCTGTCCCCAGCCTTGTCCCCAACCCCGCTCCTCCTGTCCCCAGCCGGGACACAGCCCCAGTCCAGATTTTGGGGCTCTTGGTACCCAAATCCCCGTTCCCGCAGCCCGGGGCTCAGCACTCGGGTTCCTTCACCCCGCATTCCCCGGGGAAATGTCTCGTTCCCAGCAGGATTTGGCTCGGATCCCTGCCAGTGTCGTGGTGATGCCCAGCACAAACCCCAGTGCCAGCCCCCAAAACACCAAAACCCGGCAAGAGAAGGGAACGGGGTCAACGCACAAGGGACAGGCACACGGGGCTGGGTTTTGGGACGTGGAGCCTCCCACGAGCAGCAGTACAAACACCCAAAAATCACCACGGAATCCTGGAATGGTGTGGATGGGAAGGAACCTCCAAGTTCACCCCATTCGGACACATTCCCCTTATCCCAGGCTGCTCCAAACCCCATCCAACCTGGCCCCGGACACTCCAGGGGATGAGGATTCGCATCTCCCCGTGCCCCAACCTCCACTCCCTCCATTCCAGAGGCCACCCCCAGCCCGGTGACACGCGATGCCAGAGCCCGGCGACATCAATAATGCAGCGGGGTCAGCAGCAGCGTCCCCGCAGCTCCGCCCGCCTGCTGCCGCTGCTGGGGGATTGAAGCGCTAAACCCAAAAAATGAGAGATCCCTGTAGCGCTCCCACGGAATTCACAGCCCCCATGGCCACAGAGGTGCCCATGGCAAGGATTTTAGGGTTGGCAGAGGCTCTCCAGGCACCTTCCCTTGCTCATCCATCCCATGTCCTTGTCCCCTGGGCAGCTCCAGGCTGTGGGTGCACAATTTGCTTTGCAAAGTTTTTTTTTTTTTAAATAGAAATGAGCAGAGCTCCCAGAGTGGCACATACACATCTTCCCCTCGGCTCTGCTCTCTCAGCCCCACAGCATCCCCGAAAACATCCCCCAAAAAACATCCCCCAGCTGCTGTGGGAAGGGCAGGGAATGCACTGGGACACAGCCCCAGCTCCTCGGGCTCTGTGCCCGAGGGTTTCCCCAAACCTCTCCCTGCACAGCAGGAACCTCACCCAGGCTGTGCCAGGGCTGAGCTTTGCCCTCCTTCCCATCGCCCTCCTGCAGATCTGAGCCTGCCCCAGGGAGTTGGAAGATGCTGCAGGGAAGTGCTTTAATTCAAACCATCCACTTATTTATTTATTTTTAAATTGCATAATTGCTGCAGACATTTCTGCTCATGTTTGGTTTTATTACATCTTTGTGGTTATTCTACAAGCCCTAAATTTTGGGCCTCAACTGAGTTGGCAAAGTGCTCCAAAAACATCTGTCCTGAGTTACTCCCCTTGCAGAGCTGTGGCAGAAGACATCACAACACCAGGGGGGTTATTTGGAACAGAGAAAAATTCTTACTCCTGACCCAAAGAGAAGGGTAAATATTTACTGCCACTGACCCTACACCTGGTCCCAACAGGGCCCAGCCCTCATCCTTCAGAGAGCAGCACAGCTGGAGGCTCAGGAGCTGCCATCACCCCTGTGTCACCGTCCTGCTGCCTCCAGTTCCTGCCAGCAGCAATGCTAAGGTGACACATCCCTCCCCAGCACTGCATAATCAACAACCAACCACTCATTCCCCCCCATTAAAATTCCCAGACTCAACAGGTTTGAATCCAGCAGCCCCAAGCCGTGGGTTTGCCCTCCAAAGGATAAACTCGGGAGAAGTTTATTCTTCACAAAGGTTGTAAAGGTCCCTTTGCACACCCACCCCCTGCAGACCAGAGCACGAAGGAAGGGAATTGCATCACCCCCAACACCCCTCTGGCTTGGCTGATGTTTTTGTTTCTCCTACAAACACACCTGGAGAAGGCAGCAAGTCCCAAGCACGGCCCTAATGGCCATGACGGGATCCCGGTGCCAGCACATCCCTCCCATCCATTGCCAGCAGGAACGGGCCAGCAGAGCCACAGCCCCTGGTGGGTTCTGCCAGCCCTGGCCAGGACACCTGCCCACCATGGACACCTCTGGAATGCCCAGCAGCATCCAGGTGAGGTCCTGGCAGCCCTGCAGCTCACCTGCCTTTTACCTTTTACACCGTTTAATTACAGCCACCCAAAGGCACCTTTGCCATTAAAGCAGCTCACACCCAGCACCGAGAGCAGCCCCCAGCTCTGGACCGGGCAGAGCCAGAGCCCTGGGAATGCAGGAAACAGCCTGGTGGCCACCAAAACCTGCTGGGGACAGGGGAGCACCTGGCACGGAGGACAGACCCTGCCAGGGGACAGAACAGGACAAACCCCCCAGCTCAGCAGACACAGGAATGAGCACAATTCAGTGGGACAGGGCAAGGCAGCCCTGCCTCCCTGTGCCACCATGGCCACGAGTCCTGGGGACAGCAGAGCTGTGACAGCCACAGCTGCTGGCTGCCAGCCCTGCCAGGCAGGATTTTAAATAGGTGCTGAATTATTCATGGCATCACCGAGGTTCCTGGAGCACGAGGTGCTGGCCACCAGGTCCCTGCTGGGGTGACCTCTCCACCCACGGCTGCTCCAGGGGGGTCAGCCCTCTTGGGAAATAAATCTGGGGCAGCAGTGGGGGGTGGCAGGGCTGTGCCCACCCTCCCTGCTCCATCACAACCATCACATTTCCCTCCTCGTTTGGTTTCAGTTGCTCGTCTCTCCAGGCTGCCCTGAACAACCCCGGCCTCAAATCCAGGAAAACTCCGGCTTTTACATAAACAAAGGCTGCTGACAAAAATGCAGCTCCCTGGGAGCAGCCTGGAGCATCGGCCCCAGCTCCTACAGGGGCAGGTTGGGGCCACAGGTCTGCAGGGAACAAGGAGCTGCCTTCTCTCCTTCACTGAATGCCCCCAGGAAAGCTCAGAAAACCCTAAATCTGGCTGGGGACAAATCTCTGAGTGTATCCCAGCTGCCACAGCCCCAGTGCAGCAGCAGAAATCTCCCAAAAAATCCCCCCACACTCAGGAGCTGCACATTCCAGTGCCTGGGAGCTGCTGGATTCGGGTCAGGCTGGAGCTGCCCCATGGGGGGACAGTGCTGGGGGCTGAGCAGGGCAGAAATTGGGGTCCACACCTCTCATCCACCATGCCCTGGGCTCCTGCTGCTTTGGGAGGCAGCAAGAGGGACACACCAAGAGCCTGGAGCAGGTTTTACCACCTCGAAGCAAGGCAAGGCACAGGAGCAGGATGCAGGTCCTGCTGCTCCTCTGACCTCACCCCAGAGTCACACACGGCTCTGGCACAGAGAAATGACCTTGGCCAGGCCAGCTGGCAGTGCCCAGCTCCCCTGAGAGCTGCCAAGGCAGGAGCAAACCACCCCAATGAGCTCAGCAGCCTGTCCCCACAATGGGGGGAATCACCCCTGGAGCAGTTCCCTTTGTCCAGCCCAAACATCAGCACAGTGAGCTCTGAATTCCCAGGAAAAGCCCCTCTGAGGGGAACAGGGGCTCTCCTCCCCATTCCCAGCCCAGCCCAGCCCTGCTCTCCCTGTCCCACCCTCTCCTTGGAGCCCAAAGGCAGGAAAGGACCGTCCTGTTCCCCGGGCTGACTTCCCGTCAGCTCCTGCCGCTGGATCGCGACCAGCACAGCAAACACAGCAGGGCAGGAAATGGAAATGCCCCGTTTGGAAAGCCACCCCCTCCTTGGGAATGGCTCCTGTCCCAGGGGGGCTTCAATCCCCAGGGGAAACACAGCCATCATCATCATCATCATCCTCACACAGACCTTCCAACGCTTCAAATCAATAAATAAAATAAAACACTGCCTCCAAGTCTGCCCCTGGCAGCCCCAGGGAAGGAAGATCCTTCTCTGCAAGATCCCAAACAGCTCCAGAGGGAGGGAGCAGGGCTCAGAGCCCCTCTCCTGCCTCCCACCAGCATCACCCCTGATCTGCACACGGGGATTTCTGCAGAGGGCACAACATTCTCCTGACCTCCCCATGGATGCCCTCCTGACAGCCCAGTGGCCACTTCTGGACCAGCAATCAGCCACCACCGTCACCCCAGGGGGACAGAGACCGAGCTGGCACTGCAGCCCCTGCAGGGCCCCCAGGGAGGAGGAAGAGGAGGATTCCCAAAACAACTCCACGCTGCGGAGGTCGCTGAGCAGCACAGCAGAGGGGGGACACGAATGGGAGGGGACAGATGGCCGTGGAGTGGCCACCCAGCTCCTGCCACGTCCCCACCTGCAGCAGGGGCAGCCCGGAGCCAGCCCCGCTATCAGCCCGGCACAAGCCTGCGCCGTCCCCGGCAGCCATGGAAACTGGACGTTCTCCACCCCAAATTCCTCCCCTTTTGGAAAGGAGTTTACCAATAAAAGGCGCTTAATGCCGAAGCACAGGCCAGACTCAGGCTGCTCAAAAAGAGCCAATTTCCTTCCTATTTCAGCAAAAAGCTGCGAACACGCTCGCCCCAGATGTTCCCTCCCTCCTGCAAATAATGCAGGGAGAGAAGCTCATTCGTGAGCTCCAGCTTGGCCACAGCTCTGTGCTGAGCAGGCTGAGATCCAGGCTGGGACACCGTGGGGTCACTCACGCGTCCCCAGCACTGACAGCCCCCCACAGCCCCCCCAGCAGCTCAGGAGACCCTCGGGGACACTGGAAGGGAGGGAATGCACAGCCCCCAAACAACCAGTGCCGCTTGCAGTGAGAGACCCCAAAGGGAAGCTTGGCACACCTGGGCTCCCCAAACCACACACAGGAGATTTTTCTGATAGGACAAGCCACGGCCAAAGAGGAAGGAAACCCGAGGGAGGTGCCAGCTACTGCCCACAGCCCCGCTGTGCCCTCACCTTCCTGCTGCCGTGCGAGGAGAAGCTGTGGGAATGCCTCTGGAGGCTGCCCCCGCTCACATCCAGCTGTGGCTTCCAGACCTCGCCGTTGTCGCTGGCCAGGCCCTTGGTGGGAGGCAGGGCAGGGCTGAGCAGGATCCCGTTGTGCACCATGTCCTCGGTGCAGGTGAGCCTCAGGCTGCACAGGTACTCGTCTGTCTCCTTGTCCACCACCAGCAATCGCGTCTCCGTCTCCACGGCCTTGATGCGCTGCACGACCTGAGGGGGGGGGGGACAGGGACACTCAGGGGTGGCAGGAACTGTGCCCAAGGGCCATCAGCTTCCTCACAGTGCTGGTCCAAGTAAAGCTTTGTGCTCCCAGCTGCTGGTGATGGGGCAGAAAAGGCAAGAACGCAGCTTTGGGAGATCCCTGGGGATGCTGCAGGGGATCAGCCAGGATCACCCTCCCACAACTACCTGGGATCACCTCCTGCTCAGCCAAGAGTTTGCAGAGGCTGGCACTTCCCCTCGAGCATCAGCAGCCCCTTTGCCTGTCCCACCAAGCAAACATCCTCCATTCCTCAACCCAGGGTGTGTCTGCTCCCATACCCGGGGCAGGGCACGAGCTGGGGGCACAGGAAGGCTCCAAGCACCAATGTGGGCAGTTGGGTGCTGGACTGTCCCCCACCACACCATTGTACAGGCCAGAGGGAGATTTAGGAAGGACACAGCCCAATCCATCCATCCATCCCCAGGCTGTGCTGGGGACCAGCACGAAGGGGAGCCAGTGCTGGGAGAGGGAGATGAGCCCATCCCCGGGGGGATCCAGCTCCAGGCAGGGCTGAACGGGGACCTTGTCCTGCTGTGCCCAGCTCCTCCACAGGGATCAGTGACTGGCAGAGGCTCTGACAGTGGGGAGAGCCAGGAGGAGCTGATCCCACAGCCAGGCAGGGAGTAAATCCCACCAGAGTGGGCTGGAAACAGAGAAAATCCAGAACATCCACAGGGAAACCACCTCCAGACTCGCTGCTAGCACCTCCTCCCTGCACAGGCCTTCATCCCGAGGAGGAGGAGGAGGGGTGGCATTGCTGGCAGTGCTGCTCAGCCACCCTCCCCAGCCATGGGGTGGCCCTGAACACCCCAGACGTGCTGGGATCTCCCCAGAAGCAGCCCAGGGCTCCTGCTCTGATCTAGGTCACAGTGGCCAGACACGCCAAGGTTAGAGCGACAAACGAGCCTAATACGCAATTAACCAGCGTTTATTTACTCCCTGCAAGCTCCGCTCAAGGTCAACAGAGCCGGTATCTGCAAACAAGAAAGAAAAAAAAAAAACAAACCAGCCTGCAAGAAACGTACAGGCTACAGACAAGGCTGAACTAACTCATCGCTGCAGCGACCCTGGGCTCTCACCCCATAACCAGCCTGGAGGGTGCTGATCCATCAGGGCCAGAAAATCCATCTGCTCCCGTTCAGATCCGTTTACATCTGACATCACACACTGCTAGGGACACTTCTCCCAGAGGGGACCTGGCAGCAGCAGCCAAGGCACGGCAGCAAAGATGCAGATGGGGAATGTGCTGGACCTGCAGTTCAGGCAGCACAGGGGTCCCACAGACTGCAGAGAAACTCTGAGGGTCCTCAAAAGGGTCCAAAGCTGGCGTGGAGCAGTGCTGGGCTCACCCCAAGAGCCACAGCGAGAGCAGCGATGGAGCAAAGCACCGGGGGCTGAGCCAGCCAGGGACGGCACAGAGCAGCCCCTTGTCCCCTCCCCACGAGCAGCATGAGCAGAAGGGGCTGTGAGGAGCCTCCCCAAGGCAGCAGAACTCCCTGGGGACAGAGCAGAGAGCTGGGAGGCAAAGCAGGACGAGGTCCTGCCCAGCACCGTACCCGCTTGCGAGCCATGCTCCCAGCCTGGAGTCCTGCAGGGTTCTGCAGACAATGCAGCCCGTCCTGCACATCTGGGACCTGCTCAGCACCCGACCCAGCCCCATGATTTCCGCAGCTCCACCCAAGCAGACTTTCACCCCCCGGCAGAGCCGGCCGGGGCCCTTCCACCCTTGCCAAACAACAGCCCAGGAAGGACTCACGGTGCCAGCAGCAGCTCCTGCAGAGGTGCCCGTGCCCTGCTCCATGCTGCCAGGCTCCCTGGGCACCAGGAGGCTTCCCCTGGGCACCAGGAGGCTTCCCCTGGGCAGCAGCTGTGGTTCTGCCCCGTTCTGAGGAACCCAGGATGGAAGTTTGAGAACACGCTCTGCCTTCGCTCCTTGGGCAAGGCCAAGGAAAAAAAAAAAAAGCAGAGAACAAAGACAAAAATTTTGCCAGCTTCAGCTGGAAACACAGTTACACCCAAACAGCAAGGCCTTGTATGCTGCAGGCTCGGATGCACATGGAGAAGTGTTACTTATTCAAGGCTGGGCAAGGAGCAGCACGAGGAAGGGCCACGGTGAGGTGGCCACTCAAAGCCATGGTGTGACCCACCAGGGCATCACCCTTCCCACAGCTCATCAGTCTTTGGGGGGGAAGGAAGAGGTTCTTGTGGTGTGGAGGCAGGAAAAAGGGGTGATCCCAGATCAGGAAGGGCCACTCCTGCTCCCACCACTGTGTTCTCACAGATGCCAGTGCCACAGTAGTCCAAGAGTGTCACTGAGCTCTGTGACACCCTGGATGGGACACGCTGTTCCAATCACTGCCCTGCAGCAGGGAGAGAGTGCCAGGGCTCCATCCTGCCACCAGCAGCAAAAAAAAAAAAAAAAAAAAAAAAAAAAAAAAAAAAAAAGGAAGAAAGAGAAATTTCCCCCTCCCATTTCACTTGACCTACTGGGAAGCCCCAGCACGTTTCAAAGGCACAGCTGGCTCTGCTATCACCCGTCCCCAGCAGCCCAGAGCCAGCAGGGAGCTCTGGTGGCTTCCAAGGCACCACAGGAACACTGCCCTCCTTCCTGCCCAGCCACATCAAAGATGGGGATCCTCCTTCAAGGGGTTTGAAATCGCACTCAGGACAAACATCAGCTTTCACACGGCTGGCTCAGATCATCCAAACAAGCTCAATTAGCCAGGAAACCCCACCAGGCTCACACAGAGGGCTCCAGGGGATTTGAATTGGTTGCACCTTCAGCACAGCAACATCCACACCTGGGGGTGAGGTCTGGGAACACACAGCCCCCCAAAAATCCGCAGGCGCCAGGCACATCCCAGCTCTGCCCCCATGCAGCGCTGAGCAGATGTTTTAAGTTAATAAAACACTAAATCCTGCAGAGCCCATGAGCCACGAGGAAAACTGTGCCCCTGCCAGGCTCCGAGTGTCCGGCAAGACTGGAGCAGCTTAAACCTCGCTGCTTGTTGTTTGCTTGGTTTTTTCTCATTGCTTGCTTTTTTCCGCATTTCTTTGTGTATTTTTTTTTTTTAGACTAAAATGTTTGACAAATGCAAGTTTCAGTTTTACAAGCAGCAAATGCCAGAGCCTGAAGCAGCTTCTGTTGGAGAGCAGAGAAACAGCACCCTTGGACCTGCCCAGAAAAGCCACACTCCCCTCGGAGCCCTATCGCTGTCTGGCCAGCCCAACTGCTGAACATCTGCACCGCTTTATCGGGAGATTTTCAGGCATCTTCCCACACTCGGGGCTGCACAAGCAGGCGCAGCTCGCCCAAAGCAGCCAAGAAAACCCACAGCAGAGCCGGAAATAAAACCCGGGTCTCCCCATTCCTTTCCACCACAGATTGCATAACGCGGCACAGCCGAGCCCTGCCCAGCCCCGCACACCTCCCGCTTTCCCACCTTGCCACCATCGCCACGTCCTGAGCCCACCCGCACGGAGCTGCGGCTCCCGGGACACTCAAAACCACCCCGCAACCCAGTCTGGGCATCTGGGCGAGCACCCACCCCAGCTCAGTGCCCACCCAGGCCGGGGATGCTCCAGCAGGGATATTTTGGGTGAAACCCGCCCCCCGCAATGAGGATGGAGCCGGGCACATCCCGGGGTGTCGCGGTGCCCGTGCCCGCTGTCCCCGCTCCATCCCGCACCTGGTGATGCGTCTCCTGCTCCACGTTGAGCCCGTTCACCTCCACGACGCGGTCGCCGGCGCGCAGCCCCGCAGCCTCGGCGGGCGAGCCGGGCTCCACTTTGCGGATGAATTGGCCGCTCTTGCCCTTCTCGCCGTGCAGGTGGAAGCCGTAGCCGCTCTCCCCCTTGAGCATTCGGCACAGCCGCGGTTTCAGCTGGTCCTTGGCCATGGCCGGCGGCGGAGCGGCGCTGGGCGGGCGCGGGGCCGCTTTTATGGGCGGCCCGGGGCGGGCAATGAGGGGCGGGTCGGGACCGGGAACGGGGCCGGGATCGGGGCTGGGATCGGGGCCGGGATCGGGGCCGGGGCTGGCGGTGGGAGCGGGGCAGCAGCGGGGCTCGGAGCCGGGGATGGAGCGATGCGCAGCTCGGCCATGCTGCGGCTGCCCCGCGGCACCGGGAGCGCGGCGGGCGGGGACGGGGACGGGACGGGAGAGGACGGGAGGGGACGGGAGAGGACGGGGCGGAGCCGCCCAGAGAGACGGGGAGGGACCGAGACCGGGAGCAGCATCGACATCGGCACCGGGACCGACATCGGAACCGACAGCGGCACCCGCGGCTGATGGAGCCCCGGGGACAAAACCTTCCGATGTGGATGGATCCCTGTGGTGCCCAGAGAAGCTGGGGCTGCCCCTGCATCCCTGGAAGTGTCCAAAGCCAGGATGGATGGGGATTGGAATAACCTGGGATAGTGGGAGGTGTCCCTGCCACGCTCCAGGGGTGGCACTGGACCTTTAAGGTCCTTTAAGGTCCTTTCCAACCCAAACCGTTCCAGCATTCGATGAGTTCTGCTGGGGAAAGGCTCCCACTCCATCCTGGCTGACCCTTGGAGAGGCCACCTGGGCTTCACCTGGACTGGGTTTGTTTAATGAAACGCCGAGATCCCCGTGTTCACCTCTTTGCATTCCTCATCTTCATTTCCTTTTACCTTTTACAAGGAGGACACGACCCAGAGCAGCTGTCACAGTGATGGCACTGAGTGTCACATTCCTCCAACACAGGTTCTCAGGCCCTCCTCTGCAGTTCCTCCTTCCCTACCAGATCTTACAGTGCTGAAGCAAACACAGCAGCCAGCTGGAGGCTGGAAATAAAAGGCTCCAGAAATTAATATTGATTTATTTTTAATGTGTAGCTCGCTTAAAAAACCCTACTTCCACTGCAGTTCTACATAAAGTCACCCTTAAAAACCTTGAGATCAAAAAGATGCTTGGGGGCTCTATCTTGAAAAATCACAGCATTATTTATCTCTGCCAGTCCTTCCCACCTCATTCCCTGCAGGCAGCGTGGCTCTGGGAGCTCCAGGGGCTGGGTGGGGGGCACTGGGTGTTGTCCCTTGGGATGTCACTGTGGGGTGGGAACGGGCTCAGCCCCTGGCTCCAGACACACTTGGCAGCCATGGGGTCCCACCACGAGGATGTGATGTCCCAGCAAAGGAGGATGTGATGTCCCACCATGAAAATGTGATGTCCCACCACGAGGATGTGATGTCCCCTCATGAGAGGACATTCTGGTCCCACCAGTGACAATGTTTTGCCTCCTCCAATCCCTGTGTCACTCCAGCAGTGCCGACCTCAGCACAAAACCCTGGGTGTCACAAGAGGAGAGCTGAGAAACTCCGAGATTTTTATTTGCTGTACAACACAACTGCTCCCTCGAGCCTCTTTGTGGAGTCCTGAAGCTTTTTATCGGGCTGGAGGAGTGAGAATAATTGATTTTTCCACTCACTGGCTAAACCAAAATACTGGAGGGAAAGGGGGAGGAGAAGGAATTGTTTCAAGTTTATTTGAACCAAAAAGTTTTTCTTTTGATTTGGCGCAATAAAAACACGGTGGGAGAAAATCTTTTGGGTGGTCAGAGTGAATATTTTAACCCTGTGGAATATATTTTTTAAAGCATTGGGAGCATGAAAATTAAAAAAAAAAATAAAGAGAGAAAATATCTCCAAAAGGGGGGAAACTGTTGTTTGATTTTTTTTTTAATGTTCTTTTTAAAGCACAAATATTTTTTTCAAGTATTCCCTGGATGTATTGATTTTTTTCCAACCTTAATGTCTCCAAAAGTCGTCGTTCCCCCCCAAAAAACGATCTATTTATTGTAGAGAATGTTGGGGACTTGGTAGAGCCCTGACTCAGCACTCGATCTTTGCCTGAGCCTAAAATAAAACATTTATTTTGTGATCCCTCTACTGTAGGGGCTGTGGTTATGCCTCTAGGCTGTCCTGCCTGTGCTGGGGCTCAGCTTGGTGCATCCCTTGGCATGGATGTGCATCACGAGGAAATTCTGAGTTTTTTCACTGCAGCTGATGGAGAAGGAGCTGGAAGGAACACAAAAATACGTTGTGCAAAGGTGCGTCCTAGCAAGGCACAAAATCCCTTTGGTTCTTCCCATCCTGCTTTTTCCCATCCTCCCGAGTCTCATTGAAAAGAAAATGAGAGAGCACAGAGAGGTTCCTGCACCCTGGAATGGGTAAATCCAGCAGATCCTGCTCAGGCAGAATGTTTCCATTTAAATTTCTGTGTGTTTTGATTTGGGCAGATATTTAAGTCCAGACTGGGCCTGCCTGGAAGCACAGGCAGCCCAGGGACCTGTGAGTTCAGTGGCTTGGAAGGGTTTGGGAGCTCTTTTTGGTCGACATCTGCTTCCAAAATTCCCTCTCTGGTTGAGGACAGAGAATCCCACCTGTGTCCTGCTCCCTTTGCTTTGGGCCCGATGCTGTTGCAGCACTAACCCAAAATGCAGGTGCTGGAAAAACTTTCCCAGTTATGGAAATCAGAGTCACCCTCCAGGCTCCCTGGCAGCTCCAAGTGGGGATTTTGGGGAGCCCACAAAGTCCATCTTTCTTCAGAAACTGGGAAATCCTCAGCTGATCCCCCCAGCCTGCTCAGTCTGGTTTGTTCCTGGGGCAGTGGGAAGGTGAGGAGCTCTGGGAGGAGGAGGATGATGATGGTTGATGATGGAGTCACTGGGCTGTGCCAGAGCTTCCAGAGGCCTGGGAGGTTTTCTGGGTCTCTTGTGCACAAACATTGCTGAGATGCCAAGAGCCCTGTGCCTCCCTCTGGCTCCATGAGTGGCTTTGGGCAGATTTTGGCTTCTCTGTGTCCCCTCTCAGCCCATCCCTTCCTCCAGTGTCTGTCCCTTGAGCTCATCGTGCTCAGAGCTGGAGTTTTGCTGGCTGAGGGCTGGACACTGCTCCCAGTTCTGGTTCCTCCTCCCAGTGGGAGCAGCGGGCAGGGAGCTGTTCTTCCTCCACTCAGCCTCCTCCTCCTCAGTGCTGGTGTTGATCCACACCCAGCTTTCCACTCCCCAGGGCAGTTTTCACCTTCTGCAGGGTGTGCAGGGAGCCGTGCCCCAGCTCAGGGATGCTCCTGGTGTTGGATGGTCCCTGCTGGGAGCTGCAGAGCCCTTGCAGTGATCAGCTCCAAGTGGGAATAAAGGAACTCTTGGGATTTCCCACTGGCTCAAACGCTCTGTGCTCGTTCCTCCCTTGTTTCACCATCACTCAGCTGGGGCCTGGCTGCTCCCAGGGGATGATTTCAAAGGGGATGATTTATTTGTGCTGCCAGATGAACCAGGAATGAGAGGAGAGCTCATAAAAAACACCATCTCATTTTCCCTGAGCCTCTGTGTGTGGCACTATTGAGCTGTAAACATTTCCCAGCTTAGATTGATGGAGATAGAAAGAGAACTGATCATTAGGAGGATTAATTAAAGGTTTTGTGGGTTGTGAAAGTCCAGAAAGTTCAGCCACACTGCTGAGAGCCGGGACATCCATCTTGCACAACCTGGCAGCTCCTTTTTTATCAGCAGGAGGTGGCAGAGCTGTGGGAGCTGAGCTGGTGCTGCCAGGTGCTGGGCAGGAGTGGAGCTGGCCACGGGCCCAGCCGTGCTGGCCACACCTGAGGCTTCCACGTGGGGAATTCCAGAGATGCTGCTCCCACACCCAGCACAAACCACCCTGCTCCACACCCAGCGTTCCCGTGGGACAGACACCCACTGCCTCTGCCAGGACAACGGGACAACACCTTTCCCTGGAAGAGCTGGCACGTGGCTGGTGTCTACAAGAAAACCCCATGGATCGTGCAGCTCCAGAGGGATCCTGAGGTGCACAGCTGGCACAGCTCATCCCTGAGCTGGGGCTGCTGGTGGCACACTGGCATGTCACCATGAGGGCTCTGGGGCCCTCTGTCCCTGCCAGCACTCATCCTCAGCAGCATCCATCTCCAGGGGCAACCAGTCCTGGGAGCATCCATCCCCACGAGTACCCCTGCTCCTGGTGGCACAGGTCCCCTCTGTTCCTGTGGCACAGGTCCCCTCTGTTCCTGGTGGCACATGCCCCTGGCTGCCCCAAATCGGAGCTGGCACTCCCCAGACACAGCCCTGTGTACCCTCAACATGGGGTGGCACCTCCAGGCTGGCAGGGCCTGGGGACACCTGCAGGACCTGCAGGAGGGTCCTGATCCAGCATTTCCCCCTGGGCTCCTCAGGAACAGCCCTGGGCTGCTGCAGCTCAGCTGGGCACATCTGTGTGGGGTCTCGAAGCCACTGTCATTTGTCAGTGCTCTGGACACCCTGGAGACAGAGATCCTGTCACCTCCTGATCACCCCAAATCCCCAGTCCCCATCAGTTCTCTGGCTGGTGTCAGTGGAAGGTGTGGACAGGAGGGGACCCCTGGCAGAGCCCAGCTCAGCACCAGGTCCTGCAGCCCAGGGCTCCCCACGGGGACATTGCAGGGACCATCCAGGACATCCAGCTCCGTGCAGGAGATTTCCATCCACAGCCAGAGATGTGCTCAGTCCTGGCCTGCATCCCTGAGGAGCAGCTCCTGAGCAGAGCTGACGACGGAGGAAATTCCTTGGGGAGTTTTCTTCCTCCTGGTACCCGCAGGGACCATTGTGTGTGAGCTCCCAGCAGCTCCCCCGGGCCGGCCTGTTCCTGTCCCAGCCTCTGCCCTTCCCAAAGTTCCCCCCACTGCTGCTGTTCCCCTGGGAGAGGCCAGGGAGCCGGGAAGGAAAGGGAGCTGCCCTGGCTTGGGGTGGGACATCTTCCTGCCTGCCACGGTCCCTGGGATTCACCCAAAACGCATCCGCTGGCACCAGCCGGGCAACCTGGGCATCACCCGGGCAACCTGGGCACTGCCAGTCCCTTCTGGAGCCATAGAATGCCAAGGCAGCCTAGGGGATGGAGGTCCAGGTGTGCTGCATGGGCAGCACCAGCAGCCTCATCCCTGGGCTGCCCAAACCCGCACACGGACAAGGCAATTGGAGCGTCCGTCCCTTCCAGGACCTGTGGCCTTGGCTGGGGCAGCTCCCCACTCTGCAAGGGGGCAGGGATGGGGACACGGTGGTGGCAAGGCTCATCCTCACCCCCGTGGTGGCCACAAGAGGGCATGGAAAAGCCATGGCTTTCACTTTCACAGTGCTGCCACTGCACTCCTGGCACTGCTGGCACCTCCTGTCCATCACCCACAGCCTCCAGGACATGGCAGGAGGGAAGGGAAGGGAAGGGGATTTGTGCCACTGGCACTGGGGGTTTCTGAGCCCCCCACCGACCCCAAAGTGCTGCTGGGGATTGACCTCCTCAGCTGCACTTTTCCCTGCAAAGCTGCTCTGGGGGATCAGGAAGCACCAGGACCCTGAATGGGGCCAGGAGCTGATGTGCTGCTGCAGCTCTGAACCTGTCCATGCTCCTCTCCAAAGCTTTTGTCCCCTCACTTTGCAGCCAGCTGCAAATTCCAGATGTTGGCATTCTCTCCGAGCATCCCTGTGGCTGCATTTCAGTTTTGGAGCATTCACAGGGACCTGGACAGGGAATCCCTGTGGCCCCAAATGTGGGATCCCCACGATCTGGGCACGCAGACCCTCAGAGTGAGGGGATGTGATGGGGAAGAGCAAGGAGAATGTGGGATCTCCCTCAGGATCAGCCTTTAGACTGGATCAGATTAACATCCATTAGGGATGGCTGGCTCCTGCCCTGAGGTGGAAGGGGAATTAATTGCCTTTTTTAAGCCTTTTAAGCTTCCTTCCTTTTTATTGGGCTCATTGACCCCCAGGGAAGGCCCAGATGTCTCCAGAGAAACAGGAGCACAGAGGAAATTATTTTACAGCCCTGGTGGGGAATCAGCTCGTGCTCTACAGGAAAAATGATTTTTCAAGGTGAGGAGTGAAGGGTTTGTTGTTCACTGAATATCTCGCTGGGTTCACTCCAGCAGCTGCCACGTTCAAGTGTTTGCTTCCAACAAACCAGGGTGTCTCATCCCATCATCCTTCACCCCCTGTGCACCCTCCTGCTCAAAGCAGAGCTTTAAATGTTCTACCTCATTTTATCCCTTCTTTTCCTGGAGAAATTGGCCTCAAGGCCGCTCCAGGGATGGATTCAAGTGCAGCAATTGTGTCTCATCGGGCTCATCCGAGCCATCGAAGGGCAGGAATTGGAAAATCGTGGGAGAGGGGAAGGAGAGGAGAAATTGGTGGGGAAACAATTGGGAGAGAACGATCCTTCATGGGTTACAGCTCCTGAAATCCTCCCTGAGAGCCACTGAGAGGTGACAGCAACCCCCAGGGTGAGGGGAGTGTGGCAGGGAGGGCTTGGCTCCCCTGACAATCCCCACGAGAGGTTTTTCCTTCCAGACCCCAACTAAAGGCAGCACAAACCTTAGCAAGAGCAGGGGGTTCATCTAAAAAAGGGTGGAAATGTTTCTTTTTTGTCAAATTTCCTGCAAAATCTGCTGGCAGGTTAAAGCTCAGCAGTGCCTGACTCAGCCCCCCCAAACCTCAGTTTTCTCTAAATCTCAGATCCCACCTGCTCCAAAGCCCTTTCCCCACATGCTCCTGCCCAGCCCTGAGGCTTCTCCCTGTTTTAATGGGGATTGACGTTTATTTCCATCAGTGGGAATATACAGAAATTAAACCCTGAGCAGGCAAAACACAAGCAGAGCAGTGAGGGCTCACAGAGTTTTTGTACAGCCCAGTTGAGGAAATATCCCGAAATTTTGTCATCTGAGTTGGCACTTGGCCTGGCTGTGACTCCCAGACAGGCAGTAAAAGAGATTTACTGTAAAACTGCAGAAAAAAAATGTGTCAAGGAGTTAAATCATGTCAGAAAAATCTGGGAGTGACCCAACTGCTGATGTGTCTGCCCTGTGCAGAGCCAGACCAGGTTTTGCTCTCAAAAAAACCCCACCAAGACCCTACAACAGCACCAGGAAGCCAAAGTTTCCTTTGATCACATCTCATTTTAATGAGGGCAGGTTCCGAGGAAGCGAACAGTACATGTTTCTATCGGATTGCAAACAAGCCAGTACAGAAATGTAAAAAAAATAAACAAAAATAAATATCTCCCCTGTTTCTTTCTCCCCGAGTCCATAGCGCAGGGCTGACCTGGAAACAAGATGGATTTACCACTGCAGCTGGGCAGTGGCTGTGAGAAATCAGATTTTTTGGGATGTCATTGTCTGTGTGGTTTCAGAGAGGTCAGAGAGATCCGAGGAGAGCCTTCCCTGCCGGGCTGGTGAGCAGATCCCACCTGGGGCACTCAGGAAGCATCTCCACCACGTCTGTCAGCGGGTCAGAGCCAGGTCTTCAAGCGGGAGGAGCTGCAAGGAGAAGGGGAATGGATTCTTTTGGAATATCCAGCTCCAGCACCACCTCCCTCCCCACGTGGGACCCCGTTTCCCCTCATGCCGTGTTTAAACCTCGGCTCCATTCACGATTTTCATCAAATCTCCTCCTCCACAGGCTCAGATCCGACCTGCAGATCCCATTTGTGACACCGTGCACGCAGAGAAACCCCCCACACAGAAACCCCACACACAGAAACCCCACACACAGAAACCCCACACAGACCCAAATTCCAGGTTCGGACCTGCCCACGGGGCTCCCGGTGGGAATTTGGCTGGGAAACCAAAGGGATGCACGAGTGTACCCAGGTCAGAGCCTGCGGTACCCAGGACAGCACAGACATATCCAGGGCTGGGCTGACCTGTCTGGGCTTTCCCAAAATTATTCTAATCCCAGATTTCCTCCAAAAAAATGAAGTGGGGGAGGAATACAGCTACATGTTTCAGGGGTTGATCCAACAGCTAAAAGCCTCGGTGGATTTCAGCTGGATGTTGGCTCCAGCTTTACATAAGAGGAATGAAATGTAAAGCCTGGAGCCAGCCCCGAGGCAGTCCCAGCAGCCTGGCTGAGCCCCGACGGGCAGGAGAAGGATCCTGAGGGGGACAGGACCACGCTGGGAGCATCCCAGCATTACCAGCCCCATGGATACCCCATGGACACCCCATGGACACCCCTCTGTCCCGCAGAGTGGGAGTTTGGGATGAGCCAAATGTGAGGAACAGAAATCCTACAGTGCTGGAATGGTTTGGGTTGGAAGGAAACTTAAAGATCCTCCGTGGGCAGGAACAACTTCCACTAGACCAGGCTGCTCCAATCCCCGTCCAACCTGACCTTGGCCACTTCACCCACACCTTTTCCTGCCCTAAAGGCAAAGTGCAGCCCCTCTAAACACGCACTTACCTGGTGACACCCCTCCAAAGTCCCCTGAACCCCAATTTCCTGATGAAACCCCTGCAAGGCTCCACACTCCCCATGACCCCCCAGCATCCCACAGAGTGACCGCGGGGCTCCACATGGATGTCACCCCTGGAATATCCCGCATCCCACAGAGTGACCGCGGGGCTCCACATGGATGTCACCCCTGGAATATCCCGCATCCCCCGCATCCCCCGCATCCCCCGCATCCCCCCGGGTCCCTGTCCCCGTCGGGCCGCGCTTTACCTGAGGCTGCCGGGGGCCGGGCGGGGGTCGTGCAGGAGCCGGGCGGGGACCCCCCCAGCCCCAGCCCCGGCGGAGCAGGCGCTGCAGGAGGCGCCCGGGGCCGGGGGGCGGCGGGGCCGGGGCAGCAGCCGGGGGATTCTCCCCGGAGAGGCGGCCCGGAGGTGGGGGGCTATCCCCGGCGGGGGTCCCGGGATGCCGAGGAGGTTCGGCCGCCAGTTCCCGTCGCCAGAGGTAGGGAGAGCGGCGGACCCCCATCAGCAGCCCCGAGGCTCGCCCCACCGTGTGGTAGCGAGGGCTGGCGACGTGCTTGTACCAGGCGCCCGCCGGGGCGGCCGGCAGCATCAGCCCCAGCAGCACCAGGGCTCCCCAGGTGCCCCCCGACAGCTGTCCCCTCGCCATGCTGCAGGGCAGGCTGCGGGCAGGGCTGTGCCCGGCCCCGGGCACCCCAGCGACGGCTGCCCCGCTGTGCCCGAGCCCCGCCGGTTTATAGCGCCGTCGGGAGGGGCCCCGCGGCTCCGCCCCGGCAGCCCCCCCTTTCCCCCGGGATGCCGGCACCCTCCCCATGGCCCCTCAGCATCCTCCGAGCATCCCTGAGCGTCTCCCTGCAACCCGCAGCATCCGTCAGCATCCCCCTTGTTGCCTTTCGCATCCTCCCCGTGGCCCCCGAGCATCCTCTGAGCATCCCCGAGCCTCCCCCTGACACCCAGAGCAACCCGAGGGGCCGTGAGAGTCCTCCCTGGAGCCTGCAGCGTCGTCCCCATGGCCTCGAGCATCCTCCGGGCATTCCCTCGCAGCCTGGAGCATCCCAAGCATCCGTGAGCATCCTCCGTGCTCCCCGCGGTGAAGTGCTCAGGACCATTTGCAGTTTGTCAGGCTGCTCGCCCTCCTCTTCTGCCACTCAGTTCTTCCTAAATTTGGTATCACCATCAATTCCTCCTTTCCAGTCAGCTGATTTCGCCCTCCCAGATTCCTTAATGAAACCAAGCAGGTCAAGTTTATGCTCATCAGAGAGCAATTCCAGTTCCTCCTGTTTATTAGGGAAGTTCTTGGCTCTATATGCTGAACCAGCACTAAATAATTTCTGGGGTTTTTTTCAGGCCACACAGTAACTTGATTAATTTTAATCTCAGCATTTTAGAATTATGGAATGGTTTGGAAAGGACCTTAAAGCCCATCCCATTCCACCATTCCAGGCTGCTCCAAGCCCCAATGTCCAACCTGGCCTTGGACAATTCCAGGGATCCAGGGGCAGCCACAGCTTCTCTGAGCAGAGGCTGGAATTTCTCTTTGTGGATTTTATTTTAACATGGTCCAAAGGAATCTCATCCAGGTTGCTTCCCATCATCAGGATCCCCCAGTCCTTCACCATCCAGTCCCATCTTCTCCCACCCAACAAGTACAAGTTCCCAGTGGAAAATTTCTCTACCAGCCCAGCTTGAAGTTGTTGTTCTGTGCCCCTCCACTCTAGGGGATTTTTTCCAGGCTCACAATGGGGACAGAGCTGTGCTGGGGACCCCTCAGAGCGTGGAATCTCAGCCAAGCAATGTCCTCTTCCTGTAGGAACCAGCCCCTTGTCCCAGCAGGGATCAGAGCATGCAGGGACGAGCATTGTCAATGTGGAGCCTCTCGATTTCCCTCTTCTGAGAAGGCTGGGAGTGAATGCAAATCCCAGTCGGCAAGAGGGGGGATCCAGCCTTCTGTGAGAGGATGCTGGAAGTTACGTCTGAGCAGAGCACAGCTCGTTCCTGTAATGAACCAGAGCAGAGTCCAACTCCTCCATGGCTCGGGTTCTTGGAAGTGCCCAGGTTTACAGTAAGGATGTGGCCAGCTCCCGTCTCACTCAGAGCCAATCCCTGCTGGATGGGCTATTTTGGTCACCCCTTGAGTGCTCTGGACATTAGCAGGGCCTCAGCACTTTCATGTTTAATAGAGCCATTAATGAATGGCAGCAGTACAGCTCCGGAGCAGCCCAGTGCATCCCCCGGGTCACCCAGCACGGGACACACGCTGCTGGCTCTACCCCCTCCAGCAAAAGCCATTACACTCCTTCCTCCCCACGAGGGAAGGATCGATTTGGAAGCCCCCAGTGCTCCTCTTGACTTGTTGTGCATCTGCCCTGTGCCCAAACAAAAACAGGTTTAGCAGCTCTTGTTTCACTGCAGCCACACTCCAACGTGGGCTCAACCTCCCCAGCCAGGAAGGGAAGATTTTCTCACTCTCAGGGATCTGCTTGAAGTGTCTTTTCTGTGTGTTTTTGGAGTGACTTGGATAAGTTGTCACCGTGACAAACTCTCCGTGAACTGAACTCTTTCCTCTCAGGAATGATCCCTGCTGACATCCAGCAGCTCTGTCCACGAGGCGCCGAGACCCTCGGGATACGGCGCGGCTCCGGATCTCCAGCAGAGAGCACGTTTCCTCTCCCAAAGTATTTTTAAATATCTTTCCAACGAAACAGCTGATAAGCAATTTGTCTTCTATTTATATTCTAAGTAAGTAAAGATAATTTTAGGATTCTTCTTCCCCTCGCAGAAGCCGGTGCTCTGCAAATACCGTAGCACGTCAGCGGGCACATGGCACCGTGCTGCTCCGGGGTGGGCTTGTGCCAGGAACTCCCCCAGAGGAGCAAAATCCTGCTTATTTTTGGGAGATAAAAAACTTCTGAACAAGTCCTAGTTCCTATGGAAGTCTTGTACAGACTGACAGGAATTTGAGATTTCAGCCTCCCGGGTCATTTGTATCAGCTGCAGGTTTTAATCGACCCAGGGCAGGGTTCAGCTGACCCCAAACACTTTTGGAAATCCCATTTTTATGTTTTTTTTATTTAAACCCTCAGGTTTGGGCTCCAGCATGGCATTTCCCAAGCACACAGACACAACTCAGCCATCCCAGTGCTGGGATGAACCCTTAATGATGTCATCCCACATTTGCTGAGGGGAAGGGGAATGGGATCATCATTGAATCACAGAATCCTGGAATGGTTTGAGTTGGAAGTGACCTTAAAGGTTCCACCCCCTGCTGTGGGCAGGGACACCTTCCACTATCCTGGGTTGTTCCAAGCCCTGTCCAACCTGACCTTGAACACTTTCAGGGATGGGGCAGCCCCAGTTTCTCTGAGGAACCTCACCACAGGGATTTATCACATGGCAGTGCTGCTGAAAGGATTTAGGTTTTCTTCTTTTATTTTGGAACAAAATCATTCTCTTTGTAAGAGGAAGGCTCTGCTGCAACTCCCATCCTGCTGGATGCTCGGGTTCTCCAGGGGGTATCCCAAATTTCTGCACTGCAGGGTTCTCCAGGGGGTATCCCAAATTTCTGCACTGCAGGGTTCTCCCGGGGGTATCCCAAATTTCTGCACTGCACCCACCATCTCCAGCACGGCTCCAGAGCATGAACTGGAGTTTCTGGAAAACATCCCGAAGGACCCCAGGGCTGAGGGGAGAGAGGGGTGAGCAACTGGAGGCATCACATCTTCACCCCTGCAATAAACCCAGCCCAGCTCTCTGAAGAGCCTCTCCACCCGATTTAATTCCTGCTGTGCTCTCACCTCCCACCACACACATTACTGCAGCCACTCAGGATTTGTGGCTTTGGAGAATGAGCTAAATGAATTTGATGTCCCAGAAAGAGGCACTTGAAAGCGAAACCGGTGGGGTTTAATGACAGCATTTTCCACATTTTTATGATAATGACTCTGGTGTTTATTGGAAGGTTAGCGACTCAGCCGAGCAGGAAAACAAAGCAATCGGAGAGGCCAGAGCTGCAATGGGGCCTCTGCACTCTTGGGCATTAATACCTGTTCTATACATGACATTTTTTGGCCATTTGGGCTCTCCAGCATGTCCCTGTGGGAGTATGAGAGGATGGAGGTGACATCACTTGGGATGAAGAGGAACAGAGCCTGCCCTCCTGCACTCTGCAAACTCATCCAATTCTGCTAATTGGGATCATCCTGTCCTTCAGGCTGGGAAACTGAGGCACAGAGCTTTCAGCACATTGCCAAAGACCACACAAGGGAACAGAAGTTTGGCCCAAGTAAATTGGAGCCTCCTGCTCCAAGGGCATTCCCCTGGACACTGCCCTGCTCTGCCTTTCTGTGCAGGCTGGCCTTGGAGAGATGGACACAAATCAGCCAAAAGCAGCTTCGGTGCTGTGAAATCAGCTGAAGGCACAAAGCTGAAGCTGGAGGTCGGAGAAGGGATGAGTTTTGCTGCCCATCCCATCCCAGGCAGTGCCAGGCACTTCCCAAACAGCACAGGCACAGCCGGTGCTGCTGTGAGGAGGTGACTTCAGACAAGGCTGCAAGTCTGGGACTGCAGATCCCACTCAAAAATGATGATGAACACCCTGCCTGACTGCCCAGGTTGCTGCTCTGATTCCCCACTGCTCCATCTCTGCCCAGACACCAAATCCCTGCACTTCACCTCCTTTCCCAGACTCCCATCCCTGCTGCCTCCTGCTTTACTTCAACCTGGGAGCGAGCAAAGCCTTGATGGCAAGAAAAAGATATTCCCACACATGTGGCTCGGTAAATCCCGATGTTTTCCAACACCCACCCCACTGCTGAGCTCCTGGGGAATCAGAGCAGTGTTTGTGTGGGGCTGGGATGAGGCACTCAGCCCAAACAGCCCCGGGTCCCTCAGGTGCTGTGGTGGCAGCAAGCCCCAGCCACAACAACCTTTGCCATTTTCTCGCATCTCCAGAGTGCCCTTGTGTAACAAACTCGGATCACGGAGCAATTCCTGCCCCCGGTGATTCAGAACGTGATTAAATGCTATTTGTCTGTTCCTCTGAAATAAAGGAGCTGTAGTTGCTACAAACAAATTACTGTTTCAAGCTGTGAGGTAAAACACACCTTGACTGCCTGAGAAAGCTGCTGCAGGCTCTGGCGGCTCTGAAGAGAAAGAGGAAACAACAAGGGGTGTTTCCTAATGTTGCAGATCTTGCTAAAGTGCACTAAATTAATTATTTGACTCCTAAGAAACAACTCATTCTTCACTATTTTTAGCCTCACACACTATTTTAAGAGGTTTTTTTCTTCAGGGTCCAGTCACGTGGAAGTTAAACAGAAGGCAGTGAAGTCTCCAAAGGATAATAAACTATCTCAAATTACTTTGCTAATGGAACAAAGAGTACTGTAAATGTCACACAGGATAGAACAAGAGCACAAGAAACCTTTACATGAAACAATGGATCCATTAGCACAAAGGTAAGAAAAAAACCCCCCAGACTTGTGATACTTGTGCAGAGCTTCACGGAGTTGGGGAATTTGTTCCCTCACTTGGATTCTGGGCTGAGCTCACGTCACAATCACCCACACTCTCAAGGCATTGGTCCTTTTTTAGGATTAGGATTTCAAAGCCCTTTACAGACAATACTTAAGCCCCAGGTGAGTCAGCGGAATTATTTCTGCTTCTAACTCAAGTACAGGGAGGGAATCACTGAATCACTGATGGGACA